AAAAAAATGAAAAATAAAATATGGTACGTACACATCAAAGAATGGCATATATGAATGCAGCAAAATAGCGGTCAAGCATCATGAGTTATTACAGCGACCATAACTGAATAGATAATGACTGACCGATATGAACGTACGTTTGGGGATGAGCATACATTTATAGTAGGAACTGAATACACGGTCATAACGGTAAGAATGATAACATAACCTACTATCTACTGCATAGATTATATACAGAAGTACAAATATTTACTAGACTTAAATTGTTTAGCCTACAAAGTCTTCACAAAATCATGTCCCTTAGAGGATGGGTTTAACACGCCGTTAGGATAAGGGGTTTCATTACCGAGAATGGGTGCAGAGTCTGGTTTTCTGAGCTTGCCCAAAGCATTAGTAAGGTTTGCCGGCATATCTGGCAATAAACTGAAAAGTGGACATGAGTAGATGTATTTCAGTTAATGAGAAAGTGTGTTCGATGAAGGCTCTCAAGCGAGTAAAGAAATGCTTGGTGGGTCCAAAGTTTTGCAGCATAGTGTCCAGTTTTTCTGAATACAGGAGTGATTTCAGCTCCTTCTTGACTGTGGAAAGTGAGGGACTGTGTGGAGATGTCCAGGCCTTAAGTAGAACCCTCCTGGCTGTTTTACCAGTGGTTTCCCAGTGGCCAAAGAGGCAGTTTCAGGGGGGATCCTTAGGGGAGCATTGTTGTTGTAATTACATAGATGTTGTGAACAATTTGATCCCAGTAATACTGGTTTGTTGTAGATGTCCAGAAACAATGTAGTAGTGTTGGCCTGCTAGCACAGTACCAAGGACAGACTGCCAGCAGAGGATTTGATGAGTCCATCAAGGCGGGTATAAATACCCTGTGGATGAGCTTGAATTGTGCCTCTCTCCATTGCTGATTGACAGTGACTTTACAAATTCTCTTATACCCCTCCAGGAGCTTTGTGGTGTCCTCTAGTTCCAGAAAATCTTAGTCCAGGCTTTCAATAGGTATTGCCCCATAAGGATCTGGTTTGTTGCACAGTTGGGAGTACAGTAATGAGATGGAATAAGTTTTTTGTTTTACCACCTTGTCCACCACTTGATGTGCCAGTATGGTTCGTACCTGGCCTAATAGAGCTTAAATAAAATCAACCAGCTGGCAGTAGTGAAAGATATGGTGAGGGGGTAACTGGTACTGCTGAGAAATCTCCTGAAAGGACTGAATTATACAGGTGGCTGGGTGAATTAAGGAAGCAGCACGTGTTAGACCCAATAAGGTCCAGAGGGGAAAGCCTAGCCAACCAGATTTAATCATAAACCGGAAAATTAATTTTGCACTGGAGGTTCCTTTTTTTTTTTTTAAATTTAAATATTTATTAAATTTTTCATGTTAATACAAAAACCCAAAAAGGGAAATAATTCTCATACAAATAAACATTTATAACATTTCTACCTTTCCCTTACTAAAAACTCTTTTCTTTCCCATCCCACTACCCCCCCCTTCCTGCCCCTCTTCCCCCCTCCTCCCCCTCTGCAGACTCTAGCCCATTCTAATCTCTTGAGGCTTATTAATTTTTTGTTAACATCCTAGTTCATATTTTCCTATATTTCTCTTTCAATCCTGCTCTTTCCCACTTTTCCCATCTCCTGAAATAAATTCTCATCCTATCTTCCTGCATATGATATGATCTTTCCATTCTACCTATCTGGTTTACTCTATTAATCCAGTCTACCTCCTTCGGTACCTCAGCTTTCCGCCAAAACTTGGGTATCAACCCTTTCGCCGCATTCAAGAAGTACCAAATACCTGAATATTTATATTTATTTACAGATGTCTCCACATTGTGTAGGAGGCACGTCGTTGGGTCTAACCCTATGTCTGTTTCAGTTATTTCTTCAATCAACTTGACTATTATCTTCCAAAAAGCCTGGATTTTCGGACATTCCCACCATATGTGAAACACCGTGCCTATCTCTCCACATCCTCTCCAGCACATATTTGAATTTTCCCCATTCATCTTGTGCTCTACACTCGGTGTAATGTGCCATCGTGTCACACACTTATAATTAACCTCAACCTCTCTCATACTAACATTATCGTGTATCAATCTAAACATCTTTCTCTGTCTATCTTCATCAAACCCAACTCCCATATCTCTTTCCTATTTTGTCATAAAAATTAACTTTGTGTTTGTGTCTAATTCTGTGAGTATTCTATACACTTTTGAAATACCGTGCTTCCCATCCCTTCGTGTCTCTAACAACCTTTCAAACATATTCCACTCCTGTTTTATTCTCAAGGGTTTTGGTAGATTTCCAATAAAACTTTTCAATTGATGATATTTCCACTCATCTATTCTAATAAAAATGTCTCCCTTCTTCTCTTTTAACTCTTTAAGTGATCTCAATTCCCCCTCCACCAAAACATCTCTCAGTTGGGTATCCTCCTTTCTAAACCATCTCCCTGATATCTTATTCTTTCCCGGGGGAAAGTACTCAGTATTTGTGAGAGGCATTAATATTGAATTAAATTCCCATTTCATATTTTTGTGTAAATTATCCCATACCCTAAAAACATTTAAAGTGTAAATACTTGTGCTTTCATTAATCCCCCCTGAACTGTGGTGGAACCCATATCATCTGACTCAATCTAATGCCACTAAGATCATTTTCAATTGTTACCAAGCTTTTCCCCTTATGGTTAAATGTCCAGTCATATATTCTTGCTAAAACCACTGCTTTATAGTATCTCTTGACATCTGGTAGACCCAATCCCCCTTTCTCTTTAGTCCTACTCAATGTTTCATATGCTATTCTAGGTTTTTTATTCTTCCATATGTATCTTGTTAAAATTTTTTTCATTATCTTAAAGAAGGCTTCTGGAATTTTAATTGGTACCATTTGAAATCTATACAGTATTTTAGGCATAATTACCATTTTAACTAAGTTTATACGTCCTATCCAGGATGGATTTCCTCCTTCTAGTCTTTTTAAATCTTCCCTGATCTCATTTATCAAAGAGATATAATTTAATCTATACAAATGCTTAGATGAGGCAGTGAGTTTTATTCCTAGGTATTTTATCTCTTTTTCTCTCCATATAAAGGGGAATTCTTTTTGTAGTTTTTCTTTTTCATTCTTTGATATATTAATATTCAGGATCCCTGTTTTCGTTGGATTAATTTTTAAATTTGATAGTTCACCGTACTCCTTCAGAATCTTCATTATATTTGGGAGAGTTATTCGGGGATTCCCCACGTAGAACAATAAGTCGTCCGCAAAGGCCGCTACTCTATGGTCTATGGATTCTATCTGAATTCCCTTTACCGATCCACTATTTCTTATTATTGACAACAGAGGTTCGAGTGACAATACATATAGCAGATGGGACAGAGGACAGCCCTGTCTTGTACCATTAGACATTCCAATGGGTTCTGATCTCTCCCCATTTACCGTAATGATTGCGGTAGGCTACCTATATAATTTACTTATCCACTCTCGCATTCTATCACCTATCCCCAGCACTTTTAAGTTGTCCATCATAAAGCCCAGTCCACTCTATCAAATGCCTTCTCTGCATCAATTGACAAGAGCACCACCGGGGCTTTCCCTCTCTTCTACTTTTCTGAATAAGCATCAGGGTTCCCAAGCCGTTATCTCTACCTTCTCTCCCCGGTACAAAGCCCACCTGGTCTCCATGGATCCATTCAGGCATCAGATCTCTCAACCTGTTTGCTAACACCTTTGCATACAGTTTAGTGTCTGTGTTCAATAATGAGATAGGTCTATAGCTGGAGCACTGAGATGGGTCTTTTCCCTTCTTGTGAATAAGTACTACATGGGCCTGTAGGGATTCTCTCCTCACTTCCATCCCACCTCCCAGAGCATTCATATATTTCTCCAGCTTGGGTAACAGTACTTCACTAAATTTCTTATAGTACTTAACTGTATAGCCATCCGGGCCTGGACTTTTTCCCCCTCCTGTGCTTCTTAATGCTATTTTAATTGCTTCCTGGGAAATTTCTGCGTCTAGGGAGTTCAACTGTGCTTCACTTAGTTTTGGTAATCCCGCATTTTTTAAGTATGTCATCTTTTTTTCATTAATTCCCTCATGGGCTTCTTTTAGAGGGCCTTGGGGGCTAATATTATATAACTTTTTGTAATACTCGCACTGGAGGTTCTATTGATTGCTATGAGATAGCACAGACAACCTGAGGCAGAACTACATTAAAACACTTTGTTAATCAGAATAAATGTCATATATCAAATGTTAAACAATTAATAATCTATAGCAATAGGACACTGTAACATTTACTTCATTGGTAGAAGTTGACCAGCACTTTATCCTAAATTATTTTATAATACAAAGGAACACTGAGCCTTTAAATAAAAATAAGCTTAGAGGGTTAGGAGTGAAAAACAGATAATATAATATGATCAAAAAAGCTGCTCACTTGCAACTCATAATATACAAATATAAACAAAAAAAGATTAGGAAACACTATAAATCCAGTGCTTGCACAAAAAAGTCCTTATTAAACAGTGTGTCTTAAAATTTATAAATTGTGTTCCTTCTGTCAAATCACCACCACACCAATTAATGAAAATCTTTTTGTAGCATGCCTCCACCTCATGAAATATTGCTCCTGAGAAAGTCCAGTGGCAAAATACAGAGGCCCTTGGTGATGTCATAACATTCAGAATGTTGCACCAGGGGGTGTCATTTTAAAGCTCTGCCACATAGCACCTTTGTTTTTAGATTCAAAATAAATATTTTTAAAACAGCATTTTGCTATTTCTATCTCTTTGAAGTACTATACTACATAAAGCAGTTGGTGAAAACTAAGAAGAGAAAAGGAGGAACGAGCAACTGGTGTTGTGGATAGATTCTTTCAGGCGCATACAAACATGCTTATATTTTGGGGGTCAGTATTATGCAGTAAGTGATATTTCATGAAGTGGTCGCATGCTGGAAGGGGATTTTCACTAATCAGCATGATGGTGATTTGATAAAAAGAAAATAATTTATGTGCATACTGTTTTATCTAGACTTTTTTTTTACACAAGCACTGGATAAACTATCATAATTAGTTTTTGCAAGACAGCCAGTGGTTACCACTGAGAATAATGTTAACCAGGGGCGGACTGACCATTTGGAAACTCAGGCACTGCCCGAGGGCCCGGGGTCAGTAGGGGGCCCCATGAGATGCCCCTGGTACCTTTTTCATAGGCTTTTTTGAGTTGGGCAAGGACACAGGGGCCCCATGATCCCCTATTGCCCGAGGGCCCTATGAGTTGTCAGTCCGCCCCTGATGTTAACAATATTGTTTCATAAAGATGAGAGCCAGGAAAACAAATTTAACATAGTTGAGTAGTCCTTTAAAATTACATTTATTTTTACATACAGCTTATAGCAATCTGTATTCATACTGGGTGTAAGAAATGCAGCACTAGAAGCCAATCATGCTGTTCTGCATACACATAGGATAGTGGAGTAGGCTGAACAGAGATAATAAATCAGTGTCTTGTTTCTTGTATGCTGTCTGATCAGCAGGCAGTGGTGAAGTGACACCACTGTATTCCTCAATATTAACACAGAAAGTGGTGTCTCTTCCCTGGTTGTGCTGCCATGCAGGGTATAAATGTCAGGAACATGGTGCCAGCCATCATGCATATTTCTTTGAGCATAGAAGACAGACTGCACACTCATCATTGCCCACAGTTATGAGCAGAAGCATGCAAGTAGTTTTACCTTTATTGCATGCTTATATCAGATTGTATTTTTTTAACTAAAAAAACTGACATGAAACATTTGTTCACCTGCAGTATTGTGGATTTGGACTTGCCTAATCTCACAATTAGACATGCAGTCAATTGCTACTTTTAAAGTTTTTCTAGAGTCAATGGAAATCTGAAACAAGGTTGAAAAAACTATATTGCCAAGCAGCAAATAATGCAAAACTTGCAGAAATGTTTAAGAAGCTCATGACAGAACTGCTTGAGAAGATGATGGGGCCAAAATTCTTTTAAGAATACTAAAATATCTCTTAAGAGTGAAGAGGGAAATGGAACATCTTACAGATCTAGTGAGTGAATACTCAGGTCACTTCCGCTCTATTTGGAAACTATGGGATCATTCTCCCTTTAGTAGACTCCCTTCCTCTCCCCCTCTTCCCCCCCCTTCTATAGTCTAGACACCTCTTTATGTACCGAGCAGGGGCGGACTGACAACTCATGGGGCCCCCGGGCAATAGGGGATCATGGGGTCCCTGTGTCCTTGCCCAAACTAAAAAAAAAACTATGAAAAAGGTACCAGGGGCATCTCATAGGGCCCCCTACTGACCCCGGGCCCTCGGGCAGTGCCCGAGTTTCCAAATGGTCAGTAGGCCCCTGGTACCGAGCCCTTGACAAATAATGTAACCCAACGATGTGCAGGCTTATGTTGTTTTGTGCTTTTGTATTGTGCAGTTTACCATGCTGTCTAATTATGTTCACATTTCTTCTGTTTTTGTTTTCTTTTATACTGATTGTGGTTTTCTTTCATTGCAATGTTTACACCTAAAGTGTTGTTGTAACTATGTTCTGAAAAAATGGGCTTTGGCCTTTAATAAAAATTTACAATATTAAAAAAAGAATACTAAAATACAAGGGTGGGACTGGATGACACTGGCAGTCAAGCTAAGGGAGCTCAAGCAAGGCAAAAACTTCCATGGGAGCAGCTTTCAGTCCCTTTGCCCCAGATTAATTTTGAATTTAATGTCCTTTGAAATTCAGGATAGATTCTACATTATGCTAGATTAGAAATATGTCTTTGTTTTGTTGAACAGCTTTAACAATTGATAGGGGACATTTTGTAGCACCATTCTTTTTATCTGTATTAAGCTGATTTTTTTTATGAGTTCTTAGTGTCAATGTTTGCCTGAAGTTAGGCCTAGGAAGACTTGGCATCAGCACTGGCTGGGAGAGTGGAAGACTCCATGGGCAAAAACAAAACAATTACTTGAGAACTAAAGGCATTTGCAACCATCTCGTAGTCCACACTATTAGTGAGTAATAATAATTCAGGAACATTCTGTACAGCAAAGTTTCTTTGATGTTCCTGATTTAGGTGTCTCTGTCTTTGCTTTACACTGTATTTTATTTTTTTTTCTTTACACCTTTCTCTGTGCTTTGAACATAACCAAGTACTGATCCCTTCGTTCTTATTCCTTCCATGTTTTGTTCAAAACTAGTAGAAAGCAAAGGGTAATTATGAGGTTTTTGCCATGTTCCATCTAGCCAGTAATGACATGCTTACCGCTACTAAACCTTTGCAATGCAATAACGTAAAAATGCTATGTGTAGCTATTGCTCTTTATTTTAATGAGCTGTTACTGTCACTAAGGAAAGAGCTACAAATGCAGGCCTGTAGGTAATTATATTCTATAGATATCCAACATTGTTTTTCCAGAAAGTCTTGTGTTAAAAGATGAAAAAGCAAGGTTGGGCCTTTATTTTTACATCTCCTCCCAGAACAAATGTTCTACTTTAGCAAAATATAGTAGACAAAAGAAAGTTAGAATTTGCTTTCTGACACCATCTGTTTTAGTTCTCACAGATTCCAAGTTTGTTTTTCAAAAGAGGAGGAGGCGAATTAAAGTTTTCAAAGGTAGATGTATAAACTGCTATAGAAAGATTAACCCACTTTGTCCTGAGATGGAGGTGCTTACAAAGCATTTATGATCCCTTACAACTGCTTTAATTGTGTGCTTTTATATAAGTTAGGATGAACATGTCCTTATTCTTTAAAGTAGTTATAAACCTCAGACATGAAATATGAGCAAAGCATATCCCACTATAGTGTGTGCTCATCTCAATTAACCACTTGCCTACAGGGCACTTATGCCCCCTTCCTGCCCAGGCCAATTTCCAGCTTTCAGCAGTGTTACACTTTGAATGACAAATGCACGGTCATGGAACACTGTACCCATATGAAATTTTATCATTTTTCTCCTTCACTGATGTGCGTTGATTAGGCTGCACAGATAGGCAGCACTGATGGGCACTGATAGGCGGCACTAATAGGCGGCACTGATGAGGTGGCATGGATAGGCAGCACTGATAGGTGGCACTGATGAGCTGGCACTGATGAGGTGGTACTGATGATGCTGCACTGATGTGCAACAATGATGACCACTGATAGGCAGCACTGATGGGCACTGATAGGCAGCACTGATGAGTACTGATGGGTGGCACTGGCTGGCGGAACTGACTGATGACACTGCTGCCCACTGATGGGTGATACTGCTGGGCAGCACTGATGGGCGGCACTGATGGGTGGCGCTGCTGTGCACTGCTGGGCACAGGTGGGTGACACTGCTGGGCACAGGTGGGTGGCACTGTTGGGTGGCACTACTAGGCACTGCTGGGCACAGGTGGGCGGCACTGGTGTGCAGCACTGCTAGGCACTGATCATCAGTGCCCTGATGATCGGTGCCGATCTGTCCTCTGACAATTGCTGGTTATCGGCAGTACTTTCCTCACGCTGTGAGGAAAGTGCAGCCGATAACCGGCAACTGCATTTACTGGTAATCTACTGTGTCATTGGATGTGGCTGATCACGTTGTAAAAGGCCACTGTGATTGGCCTTTTACCACATCACGTAATCAGCTGTGTCCGTAGGACATAGCGATAGCGTGGATCGCCAGGTGTGCATCCCCGGGAGGGTGCGTTCTGGAAGGACGTCATATAATGCCCTCCCAGAACTGGCCAGCCGCAGTGAAGCCGTTATTCGGCTATCTGCGGTCAGCAAGTGGTTAAGAGTTAAGAGCACTAAGTGTCATTTCTGTCTGCTGCCTTGCTTCTCTGCTATCAGCATGAATCATTTCTAACAAGTTTTCCTGACAGCAAGAGAAAATAAGGTGATGGGGAGGGACCTCCAGCAGATTAATAGCCTCAGCTATGTTCCTGTGTGCTGTGTGCAGGGAGCTCTCAGATATCTTCTCACTGAGCCTTGCAGAGTATAATTTCAGCTCTCTGCCCCCTTTTTGTGATCTCTCAGACAAGTCTTATTAATGTAGCATTTTGAATGGATGTAGAGAATAGATGGCTGCAGATAAATATGTACAACGTATGTAGGAGGATTTGTTTATTCTCTGTGAGGTCACTCACTTCACTGGGTATATGTAAAGGTTTACAACCACTCTAATACAACTTAATTATTCTGGCAGAGCTTAGTCCAGCATACATGACCAGGACAATAAAACCTTCTGATTGATCTGTATGTACATGTTCTGCTCATAATAAATAGCTCTTTAAGGTTGTATTTTTCCCCAAAAACTATTTTTTATTGGGATAAAAGACATACTGTAAAAGATCAATAAAGGCAACCAGAAGAAAATTTTGCATTAAATGGGACACAATGGGAAAAATTTGGCTACCAGCCAACAGCTTGGACTGCAGAAAGAACAATCAGGAAGGAGACTAGATATGGACTGGGAGGTTGTTAAACAGAACTTGTATAGTATACCAGGAAGTCAAAACAAAGCTCTGTATAACCTTTTGCTTAGTCAATGCTCCTTCAGTACAGTTGCTTTAGTCCAAGCCATTTAAAAGACAAACCTCAGTTTATCCAAAAAATAGTTTTATGGAAGGTGGTTCAGAATAAATCCATTTGCAGAGAATATTTTTTGGCCACCAAGGACAATAGGTTTCTACTGTTCACAGTAATTTTAGTTTTATTTAATTTGAAATACTAAAAAAAAGCCTGTGCCTGGGTGAAAGGGAGGTGGATCACCAAGTGGGCAGTAGCATACTGAGTAAAAGCTTTCAAAAAATATTTTATTATAGGACAGGCCAACAATGTGTGATATAAGTCTGCAGGATCATGTCCACATTTGAGGCACTTAAAAGATTGACTGAGTCCCATGAAAGAGAAGCTATGTGGAGAGAAACACACAGTATGTGCCATGATAAAGACGTAGCATCATTCTCCTGTAAGTATAGGCGGTGACTGCATTGCAAGACCTTTTGAAAGAACTGATAATGTGAGTTTTGGTGGTTTTTTGTTTTTTTTTTCCAGAGGGATAGGTGGGCAGTGAAGTAGAAAAAATTTCACTTTTTCATACTGTTAAGTTCTCTGTAGCTTGGCTTGAAATCAAATCACAACATCTGCTCTATATTCCATTCATTTCTATACAAGTGATAATCATTTATGTTCCAAGCAATCGTTCTTTTGCATATGAAATGTTATTTCTTAAAAGCTCTATTGAAGTTACATGTAAAATGAGTGATCTAAATCAAGTGTG